ACAGCGTGTATATATAGATACAGCTCTTGAAGAGGAACTGGGAGCAACTGAAATCCTGTACGCTAAAAATTTTGCAAGAGATTACATTAAAATCATCTTGTGGATACCATGCAGCAAATACAGAGTGTATTTTCCGTTCTTGTGGATGGGAGTTGGAAGGATCTGAGGGCATAGTTAGCTTCATCTGGTTTTAGTTTTTGGAGGTTAGTTTAAATATAGGTGTTTGTTTTCACTTGTTTATTCCCTATGATCTTGGCCATTTCATCAGTGGATTTCTGTGGATGTCTCACTGTCAGCTGTGGCTTGGGAAAGGCCCCTAACTGGTACTGTAAGTGTATTGCCTTGCACTGTGCTCTCAAGTGGCATTAGGACGGACTCGGGAACGGTGGGCAGTAGCAGGTCTCGGTATAGTGTGCACGTGGTGGAGGGAAGGATGAGAGCTAAGGGAAAGGAAAGAGGATGAAAATTAGGGTTTGCTTTCTCACCTGCCTTTTGTGAAGCTTCTCTACTTTCCTGTGGTCCTTCTGCTGTCCAGTTCTTATAACAGCACTCACTTTCGTGTCAAAGTTTCACATCATGTTCCCAGCCCGAAGAAAACTCTTCGTGTGACTTTGTTTCATTAGAAGGGAGAGTTTTATGTTATAGAAGGTTTTTTTGTTTCTAAGAAAGAAATAAAATAACACTGTCAGGGAGTCGTTGACTTTAATGAGGGTTCCAGCTTTTAAGAACCGTTCTTTCCTCCTGGGCTTGCACTTCCTTAAACTGACTAAACTCATCCCAAGTACTGTAGGCAGCACTGCCATGTCACTACTGTTGGTGTGAGTAACTAATATGAAGGTTGTGAATGGTGTCATGAGTTAGTAGCCAGAGCCCACAGCTGTGTGACATCTCTCTTACATTTTCAGAAATGTGAAATTCAGGGTGTTAGGGTTTTCTGCGTGGCCAGGCAAGTCTGCTTAAAGTCAGCAAAAGTTGCATGACAACCCTTCAGCAGCAATTGAAAATGCGTCCCTAGTACTTAAGTCTATCAGTAAATTATACATTTAGCACCAGAAACCATGTGGCAGCATTATTTGGTAATGACTGCTTAGGATGTTTTGATTTCTATTACAACTCAGGCCTTTTATGTCTAATGACTGCTATACATGATTTTTTCACGCCCAACCCAGTCTAAGTGACTTTCATTTTACTGAAATAATAACCTCTTTAGTCCTTGGATTTCTTCACAGCATCATCTGCATTTGCTAGCTGGATACTTCTCAAAAGCATACTGCTGCATACTTCTCCAAAGACTGTTCATGACTTAAGCAGTCGTAACATTCATCCGACGTGACACGGATTAAGTGCAAGCAGGATAAAGTAGAAATGTGGGAACCTCTGAAGGTCAAGCATAGATGAATAAACCACACACACAGAAAAGGGCAATAACTACATAAAGTCTTTCTTAAAATAAGTCAAAACCTGAGAAATTTTAAAATTCAAAACAGGGCCTTCTCCCACTTCAAACTACATTAGGGAATCTTTAGCACTTAACTTTAACACAACCTCACGTCAGCTTTTCAGCAAGTGTTGACTTGTTTGGTTTTGTCAGGTTTCACATCATATTAATAATAATACAATAAAAATGATGTATGTCTAATATTTCCTTGTAGGCAATAAAACACCCTAAGATATTTTGAAAAGGGCACAGCTGAGTGCCTCAGATTCCTAGAAGACTAGTTATTTGACAACCTTGGGAGTACGGTTCTTTGTAGTGAATTTTTATTCTACCGTGTATGATTTTTTTTTTTTTTTAAGTAGACTGCTTTTGTTTATTGGAAGCTGTGAGGTTTTTTTCTGTAAGGTTTACAGAAATCATTCTACCCACTAGAATGGTGAGAAACCCATCAGGATTCTTCTAAGCTAACACAGTTTTTACTTCAGTGTTAAAGCACCTTCTTTGGTTGAGAAAGGGAATCTTGGAAAAGACCAAAGCTCTCTGGTACCTGCTTTTTTTAAAAAAATTCCTATCCAATACCCATCTCCAGATGTCTGAGTTTGCATAGTCCTGTTATACTAACATCCAGCATGGTAATTTGAGGGAGTCAAAGAATCAAATGCCTCACTGTGTACGAAGTGTGTATTTATAATTCTCTGAAATGAATGAAATTCTACTGTTTAGTGAAAAATCTACTCATGTTTATTCCAAGTTGGTTTGTGTAATTAGATATCATTGTTCAAAAATGTCTTTTTAGAGTAGTTGCACCACGGCATATTTGAGAACATTCCTTCTTTCAATCAAATGAAGGTGCGCATCTTAAGGGGAAATATTGTATGTTACACTTGAAATGTACAAATGTGCCCTGTATAGCTTAAAATGATCCTTAAATGTCTCCATTAAATATATTTTGTCTTTACATTATTACTAACTGAATAAGAACTGGATTATTTTCAAGACGACATTAGTAAAAGTATTGTTATATCAAGCACTTTAACATACATACCACAAACTGACATGGGTTTTTCAGGTTTTGAAGTACATTGAAATACAGCTTTTCATGCTATGTCCTTTACAAATAAAACTGTGAGAATAATGGTTGGTGTCACTTTCTCCTTGCAGAGGAACCGAGAGATTCAAGTCTCATGCTGAAGAGCTGATCTGAACCTGGAGGGCATGTTTCATAAAGGGAACAAGTCGAACAAAATGATTCAGCTGATAGTGACTCCTGCTACTGGGAACTTGCTGGAGCAAAGAGGGGGACAGGGGGTGTGAGAGTCCGCTATCAAAACCTGCCCTTCTGCCTCCCCTGACACAAGAGTCTGACTGTGCCGAGCCTGACCAGCTCTTCATTTTCAAGGCTGAGGTGGAAAGCGTGGCTGACCGAAGGGAAGAAATGGGATCGCAATGAAGTTTAGCTCTTACCAGGGCGGCATGTGCTAGGCAGCCTGGGTTGCTCTCCCTTAGTATCTGGAGCGCGTGGGGAGAGGGGCGGTGGGATCCTACTGGCGGCAAAATGGGAAGCGTGGGATTAACTGCAGCCGAGGGTCTCTTTCCTCTCTTGACATGGGTTGCTGTGATATTTGGACTCGGGGTTAAAAAGCTGGAATGAAACTCACGCCTTCCAGTCTGTCAGTTAGCATGTCCCATAAGAAGAGGGGTTGACAGAGAAGAGAGAGATGGGTGCCTGCAACAAAAAAGGTGCAAAAGAATGAGTGAAATGCCCTGCTTGGTAATTAAAGGCTATTCTAAGTCGGACTGGATTTTCAGAAATTCCCCCCACTCTGCCCCTCCCAGCTCTAGCTCTGCTGGAATTGGCAAAAACATGAGAATTTTTGAAAACTGCATAGTTGAAATGCAGTTCCCTGCATGTGTGTGTGCATGGTGTGTGTCAGGTGGGGCATGTCTGTTCATTCATTTTAACCCTTGGTTTTGAAAAGGCAGAGAACCTCAGGAGAGGACTGAAAGTCTCAGAGCCTGGGACCATGTATGTGGGAATCCTGAAATACATCATTTGACGATACTGATGTTTATCAACAGTGTAGCAGCAAAATTATAGGATCCCATAAATGTGAATAAAATCCATAGAGCTGCTTGTGGTCAAATTTCAATAGGAGGAGCGGCCGTACTTAATACACCTCCTTACTAAATGTGTTAGGCCTAAGCATGTAAATTAAGAGATAGTGGGATCTGACATCTTAAAGGCAGTAAGTACCTGAAGTAAAGCAGAACTAAACTTGTCCAGATGAGGAAGTGCAAATAACTTCCTCTCCGCTGCGCTGTCATTGATGCAGTCTGGGAACACTGCAATGTTTTCTGCAAAGGGTAAGTAGAAGAAAACCGTCTGAGAAAACTTGCACGGGTAGGAGTTGAAATAGCTCACCGATCTAGTTTGTTCCTTTCCAGCATTTCAGGTAAGCTTGTTGGAGCAAATTGCGCTTAAGTTAAGAGCGAAGCTGCTTCCCCGTCTGTCGCCCCATCAGCTCAGAGGTTGAGGCTCCTGTCATTGCAGTCAGGGAGCGTTTCATTGCTAACATTCCTATTTTCTCTCCTGCTGTTCCATCAGACATGTATCATTATAAGCTGGCTTGAGCTCGGCACAGGATGTGAAGGGAATGGGAAAAGTTCTGTACGGGTCTGCTATCTGGTGGCTGGTTAAGGTAAACCATCTGCCCAAGCCACTGCGGAGCCGATTTGTCAGTGGAAAGCTGTAGTTCGGCAGGAAAGCTTGGCACTTTAATGGGCCCATCTGTATTCCCCGCAGACCTCACAGGGCATCTCAGCTCCTCTGAAAGAACTTCTTCCATCAGAAGAGGATGTGACCAGACAAATTATTTTCTCCTTTAACCAAGCCCACCTTTGTCTCAGGGAGAAGGGACAGGGAGAAAGGGGGGGGGAGGCACAGCCAAAACCCCCCTAATCCTTACCCACAGCATATTTTTCAAAAGACATTGCTGTAAAGGGCTTCATTGCTGTGTGATCTAGTGACAACCTTGTTATCATTCAGTAATTAATTCAGTGGGATCCATAAATGTAAAATCATTGCGGTTTATTTCAGAGAGGCTCAAGTATTCATACCAGTTACTCTAATATGAGTAATAATGTAATCTGTAAGATATTGCTCTTCCTGCTCATAGTGGTTATCCAAGACTTGTGCAAGTCTACTTGTCTTGCACAAGGGGTAAACGTGGAAGATAGCCAACACTCACAATTCTTTCTCTTTGTGGAAAATACCTGTCCTTTACCCGGTACAGACCCCTTAGTTTTAAATGACCCTTTCCCTGAATGATCCATTTACTTTTAGACCTGGCCAGAGCAGCAGGTTAAAATGGGTGAATCGGGGAGTGGTCTGTTCACCCAGCCTCAGGTGTTCAAGCCCTGCTGTAGGGTGAAGTGCTAAACAAGTGAACGTGGCGAATGAACAATTG